CGCGGAGGTCGACCCGAAGGACAACAACATTGAAAGACGGGTTAAATTTCTGAAAGAGCGAGTCCTTCACAAAAGCGTTGATTATTGCGATTTCCAGATAGGAGTGGAACCGCACCACCAAATGGACCACATTTTCATTCAATCGGCGGATACCCAAAAGTCTGGAAACACTTCATCAAAACCCACTGAAAAGGGGGGACAAAAGGCACAAACGGGCCAAAAAGGGGCACAAAAAGTGACTAAAAAAGCGAGTAATAGAAACGATCAAATGTCGGAAACGAAAGTGCCCTTCAGACAAGGATTGTCCAATGGGTAAGTGTTACCACATTTAAACTACATTTTGTTTTATTAAATGATATAATGTTTTACAAAGTTATAAATTATACGATAATTGTATAAGAATTGGCAGAATTTATGCAATTTATACTTTATATAAATGCCATAAAACAATTTTGCACTAAATATATTGTTTGAATGGGTATTCACTATAATTTGTATGTATTATACAATATTAATGGTTAGTTTGTTATATCTTCTATGAAAATGACATTATTTCATCAAATTTGGTCTTTAAATTGTTTAACAATTTGTTTGAATACATTTCCCACAATAGTATAGACAATGAATAATACAATTTTTGCTATTTTCAGTGGAAAATTATTTTTTATATATAAATATTTCAAGTGAAAAAAATTATAGAAAATAGTTTTCAATTGAAGGCATGAAAGAAAGACTAGACGTTTGACTATTAATAGAAACATTACTTTAAGTCTTGTAATTAATTCATAAATATTTTTCGTTACAAACCATCCGATCCTTGAGATCGTAGTATTTCTTTCTCTCGAAACAGAAACTCTATTATTAATTAAAATGTAATCTTTTATGAAAAACTTATTACTTTGTATGTGAAAAATTCTGGAGTCAATTCTTGAAGTGAAACATTTTTGCTTAAATGTTGAATTGCTTTTGAAACATTATATCATTTATTAAAATAATTTTTATTTGAAATCTCTCTCTCTCTCTCTAAAAATATATAAAAATCTAAAAATATATTACAAATAATTTCTCTCTCTCTCTCTCTCTCTCTCTCTCCCTCTCCCTCTCTCTCACACACACACACATTAATAAAAATATATTTATAGCGCGGATTCGCACAAACACTCAATTCATGTGATTATAGATATGTTGGGGAATATCATTGCTATTTTTCTCCGTAAGAATTGAACAGAATATTCTGTTTTTTAATTAATTAAATAAATAAAAATTAACATTAATTTTAATATTGGTGAAACTATAAACTTGCTATTTATTCAGACACACCACAAGCACAAGCCATCAATCAATTTGTTGAAATTGAAAGCAATTTTATTCTGTCTATAGTTTCAAATTATACTCAATTCCGTCGCCAATGTTCTCAATTCAACCGCACTGTAGACCCCGAGGCCTGTATTGGGTGCGGAATTGGCTCACGTAATGCTGAGATCAAGATCAGGGTAAGTACTAAGTTTGCTAAACAAATATGAATACACTTTCAATGTATATAATATCGAGAATTGTCTCAATTTATTGCCAATAATTGCCAAATCAAACCCAAACATGCATTTTCTTATCGAATTATTTCCGACAATAACTAGTTGTATGAATCGATCATTGAATTGATTGTCAAAATTATCGCATAAATTGAGATTTAATTCTAGATTTCCCGACGATATCAATGGACTAACTCTTGTGAATATCATAGAAACCGATAGAAATATTGCTAAAAATACATTCATTTCTATCCTAATGTTTTAGGACTATCTGCAAGGCTTCCCAACTGTGCGCTGGATTCGTATTATGGATTTACTGATGAGAGTATATGAAAACTACCTCTTATTTGGAGGAGGAATATGTTTTTTTTGCCATCGATTGGTAAAACAGATCACAACTCAAGAGTATGTAATTATTTTTACTTATATATTATTTATTATTATTGTTATAATTTTCTAATTGTATGATTATTTGAAACAAATTTTATATAATTTGTTTTTGTTATACTTTATTATCGATTCAATTGTGTTTTGTTTGTATAACTGTTGGGCACTCTATTAAGGGCTGTCCAAAGGGACAGTTCCCATGACTTTCATAACTGTTGCTAATTTTGATGTGTTTTTATTCAAAATGCTTTTGAATTATTAATATAACACAAGAATAACATAATATAAATCATCAAATATTAGGATATATTATCGATTAGTTTATATTCTAATAACACTTATCACATAGTAATAAAAGCGCTGCATATTTATTAAATATTTAAACAAATTCATTGACATTTTACATACGTTTAATTTAAAACATTATTATTTTGGATAAAACTAATTCAAACCTGTTTTATATAAATGTAACATATTTTTCATAAATTTGTTGAATAATTAGTGTATTTTTATTTTAAAACATTTTTTTAATACTTTAATAATACATAAGAATATATAATGAAGAGAATATTAAACAATATCTCAAACTTCATTCAATACAATGAAAAATATTTTCATACAATAAAAACAAAAGTGATTTATAAATAGAGATCTTTTTATATTTCATAGGAATATGAGTCTCCGAGAGGCCGGCGAACGAGTGTTTTTCCCTGAACTCTGGGGTTATATCATTCGGACCTACAATTATTATATCCGGGAAAACAGTGCTGTTTTGTTCAATGGAATAGCTGTTGAAGTGATCACCGATTTCAAGGGAGTGCCGATTGAAAATCCTCACGGCGTGGATGAGACTAAATATCACTAATGGTTTGCGTTTCGTATCATATTCAAAGAATTCACAAAATATTTTTCAAATATTCCATGATTTTGTAAATTACTAAACAAAATGCAATTGTATTTTTGATATTACAATAAATAAAAATTCCAAAATCTGTGAACATTTAATTTAAATAATAATTTTCAAATAAAATTTTTAACACAATGCTCTCAATAGTGAGTAGAATATTCTGTTGTGAAGATTAACCGACGATCGCATACACATCACGAAGAATGAGGTACTTCTGGCCAATGCTGTCAGGAATAGGGCTCCGATTAGACACGAGTAGATCAAGACATTCATGTTTTGGTTCACATGACCGCCCGGTTTGTCCAATTCGTTGGTCCTTATAATCAATACATAATTTATTTACAAATATAACACATGATTGCAAGTGTCATACCATTGAGTTAACCAGTAATCGCTTCCCTGATAGAGACACTGCGAGACAACCATTGAAACCAACGTAACGGTCATAAGTATAGGTCCGGCGCCGGCCTTAATGTATTCGCAATAAACACCTCCACTAATAGATCCAATCTCTTTGGTCTCCTCTTTCACTTTGGGCTCGTCTTCAGCCAAAACATCCATTGCTTTGATTTCATCGATCGGATCGTCTGAATGGCCGCCAATACTGCTGGCGATGGAGGGACTGATAGAGACGGACCGATTCATGTGTCTGAACGCTGTGTTAGTGTCTGTTTTATCAATTGTCGTGTTTTTCTTGTCTTTAGTGTCGGTCACAAAAGACAAGAAATTAATGCCTTTTGCCTTCAATTCTTCATAACTTCCAAATGCTATACATTTACCCTCTTTTAAGACCAGAATCTTATGCGCGTCTCTCAAGAACTGGATCTGATGTGTGACTAATACGCGGGCCTTATCTTTGAGGTATTCAACAATACATCTGAATTATAACAAAACATATTAACAAGTGTTTAACGATAACAAACAAAATTCAAAATAAAATCAATTGGTTTTTACTTTTGAAATATATGTTTGGCGACCGACGCGTCCACAGCGGACAGGGGGTCGTCCAGGAGATAGACATCCGCCTCGCGATACAGAGCCCGGGCTAACGTGATTCTGGCCTTTTGTCCGCCGCTTAACGACACCCCTCTCTCTCCGACCAGAGTTTTGTCGCCAAAAGGAAAGAGTTTGAAATCCCTGTCGAGAGCGCACACATCGACCACT